TTTCCCGTTTCTTTTAAGAAATGCAAAATGTCGGGATTGTTTGGTTTTTGGAATTTTTCCATCGGTATTCTAAAGAACACAAGAGTTTCGGAAAATGGACCTGTTCGCTTTCTCACGTGAGGAATGGGAAACATCTACTGTATTGGATCCCGGGTCTGGTCAAGTGGGATTTGTGGTGGACAAAGTGGCACTGGGGCAGATTTTCTCCAAGTACTTCGGTTCCCCTGCCAATCTTCATTCCAGCAATTGCTCCACAATCACCCTCACCTATCATCTGGGGCTGGTACAATAGGCCAGAAGTGGCCGCAGTACAAGGGACTTAGTCACACCCCACTAGCAATAAAAAAAATACTGAATTGGTTCCGTTAGAAAGAGCAAACGTCAATTACCCTTCGGAATCCAAAAGTTTATCGACGTCTTCACAAGAGCCTGGACACTACCTGAGCCAGATAAAGCCAGTCCAGGCTGCCAAATCTTACTTTGGTAAAAGCTATTTTAATGTTTCTCTCTCATGTATACCTATGTGCTAGCTTTGCTTCAGGTCTTCTGATGAAAATTCACTACGCATTCCTCATCTCACCTGCGCGTTCTACAAGCTCTCCCCCCCCCCCACTTTCCAATATGATCACCCTTATAATATGTTGGGATGCTTCTCATCATACAATTTGCTCCAGTCATCTCCTACTTCTTCCCTTTGAGGTCCAAATATTCTTAACAACATCTGCTCTCAGACTAAATCTACGCATGTTCTTCCCTTCGGGTGACACAACCAGTTTCACACTCATACAAAATAACATATAAAATTACTGTGGCACATAGACCCGCTGCTATGTACCGGCACGGGGCAACAATGGAAATACTGTTGGAAGAGGTGTTTTCTCCGTAGTACGCTCCGAGGCTACATCATGCGACCGACCGAGCTCAGTGCAGTGCAGGAAAGTGAAGACTTGGTTGGTGAGTTAATTAGTCAGAGAACTGTAGTTCAGTCGTTGTGAGCTGTTGCTGTTAGAAGCTGGTAGCCGAGGGAACTCAGAGTAAGGGGAACGTGGGCCGTTGGAAGCCGTTACCAGGCAACGACAAGTGGTAATACTGCAGAATGAGAAGACTTAGTACGTGCTGTAGTGAACTGCAGAGTGTGTGAGATAGCGATTGCGCTATAGTTACTTTTAGTTACAATCTGTAAGTATTCAATAAATCCAATTATCAATTTCAATTAATTTAAAAATGTATGTACCTCACAAGGTCTTGCTTTTCCCAAGGATACGCCGTCTGCAGATGCGAGCAGAGATTGGACTCTAGTCTCCACCCGTCGCTCATGGTTTTCCTCACACAGGTCATGGGATGTGAACTGGTTTTCTAAACAACTGGAATAGCATTGGCTTTCTTGTTCGGGTGATATGTTGTTCCTAAGGTCCGTGAACAGCGTTTGGTGCTTTGGTCCATCCCTTTTTATATGTGATTTCGCAATGGGCCACAGAGCTTGAGATGTGACCTTACAGTTCCCTACTTTTGTTTCCCACCTTAATGTCTTTCTACGAGGCATTCATCTGATAGATTTGGCGACTCAATTAACTACCGTTGTACCGTACATGCTGGATCCCAGGTTACTTGCCACAGTTTCCTTAATCTCCACTTATGTTTTGGCAGACTCTCCAGACCAGGTAAATCCTTATTTAGTTCCGAGAGTGTAAATTTGCTTGTCGATAGCCTGTACGCCGAAGCTATAGAAGCAGTACAGTCGCTGGCCGCTTTATCGGTTTCTTCCCCGAGTTAATTTGGATTCTAGCTGTCAACTGCCTGTCTGGTCTGGTTATATATACTTGGAACGGAACGCAAAGAAAGCGGATACAGCCTTATATAGAAAATACTGCAACATAGTCGTTGTTCACCGGCCGTTGTCTAGCAACGGTTTCTTATTCACTGACGTCATATCGTGTTCAATGTGCCATTGTCTAGCAAATGACTACGTCTCCAATTAAAGTATTCGATCGCAGCACAATTTTATGAAACTGTCATTCAAAGAATAGATGGAAACGGACGACACTAAACATTAGAAGAAATTATGAGCATTGCTCGAAAGGCATGCTTCCTGTTTCAGATATTTCTAACCCTACATATCTGTCATCATTATTGTTCCTGTTTTATATTATTTTTGTTGCGATCTTTTCACTTAAGTACAAACTCGGTCAAATTCGAATTTGTTAGGCACATCAGACATGCAAACAATGTTTCATGCGTGATGTATAGTACTATCTATAATTTCTTTCGGTTTCAAATATCGCATGCCTAGCCTCTTTGGTTCCTTATGTTATCACCTTTAACCCTAAAATCTAAGTCAATTTTCGAACAGCAGTATGTTATTATGCGTATTACATTCTACAAAATACATAAACTTTATAATAGCTACCCAGTTTTGCCAAGGTCTGTTCCCATACATTATTTCTTAATGCTAATTAATATCCACTGATGTCACTTTCACATCACAAATTCGTACTTCCGCCATATTGTTTCTTATTCTTTGTTTCGTGAAAACAGGTCAAGTGATTCAAAAGTTGAAACTGAGGACATGAAGGGACCAAAATGTACATAAAATGATGACATAGAAGCATAATTTTTCTTTAAGGAAGGAACATGAACTAAAAGCTGCCCAATCCAGACATCGGTACCAATATGGGTAGTGCTGTCTGCCAGGAATCGAACTTAAGTCGTCCAGCCCACTGTCTGCCACTTACTGACTGAACTGTCACAGTTCATATTTTATTAATACTGCTTTTTTAAATTCTGAGCATTTTCCTCTAATATCATTAAAGAATATTAATCAAAAGCACAACAATACGTGTTTAAATGTAACACAATGTAAAACTGTTGATCTCCTATTGCAAGTCACATTAATATCCGTCACGCTTTCCATAATCATTATGCAAAAGTGTTGGCTGTAAAATGCTAACAACAAACAGCAACGTAACAACCTCAAGCCGTGCAATTAATTTGTCACAAGCATGGCCGGATGGGAAGGAGAATGCAATGAAATGCTACATAACTCACTGCTGTACAAGTACGCTAGTGCAGCAGTGTGCTTCCACAATTTTCACGATATATAAACAAGTTTTTTATTATTTTTTATTGCTAGTGGGATGGGACTAAGTCCCGTGTATTGCGGCCACTTCTGGCCTATTGTACCAGCCCCAGATGATAGGTGAGGGTGATTGTGGAGCAATTGGTGGGATGAAGATTGGCAGGGGAAACCGAAGTACTCGAAGAAAACCTGCCCCAGCCTCACTTGACCAGATCAGGGATCGAACCCGGGCCGCAGCGGTGGGAAGCCAGCGACTAACCGCTTGAGCTATGGCGCGGCCTGATAAAGAAGTTAGTATGTGTAGAAATTGGGATTATGTTGTTTACTTTACTCGCAGATACAAACAATTCGCATTTCACCATATATTTTACAGCAAGCGTTGACCGCTGTGGCCATGGAGTCAAGATGGTCCTGTGTATCCAACTTATAAGATAGCTTCGGTATTATATAGAAAATTGTGATGAATTTATGGATTTTCCTGGCATAGATTTTTCTAGTCTGTATCTATAAAAACATGGTCACATGGTGTTGATCCTCAATTGGTCGAAACACATAGTGTTTTCATAAAAACAAATAACCAGTAATCATTGGTGTGCTATCTGTCGATGCTGCATGGACGGATGATGAACATAGGGATTCTCAACACACTTTCTACAAGAAGAATATACGTGTATTTTCTGCTTCTCAAATTTCATGCTCTCAAAATTCCACGTCACTGCATGCATGCTTGACGTTGCACACATTAAAGCAAAATTGAAGTGTTGAATGATTCTGGGTCCCCGCTACACAACGTTCCATGGGGTTCTCAATCCTTCTTCCTCGTTTGTTTGCTTTGGAATGACATGATTTTACGTAGTTTGTTTACGTCAGGTTAGCTCAACTTCGAGAAGCCTGAAACGTATTGGCCTGAAAACCCTTATGCTCCAAAACCTGTATAGCAATTACAGAACATTTATATAAAACGTCAAAGAAAATTTGTTACAACTAAAATATTATTTAAGATTTGAGGTTTTCACGACGGTGACTATGAAGAAAGCAGTCTTCTGGGATGTGGCACCGTGTAGATGTGGTGTTAACCGACGTTTCGGAGGCCATATGTTCCTCCGAAACGTCGCTTAATACCACATCTACACGGTGCCACATTCCAGAAGAATGCTTTCTTCAAAATATTATTTCTTTGTATAATACAAAATTAAGAAATTCTGTAGACCTCTCCATCCTGTACGACCTTCACTGTGACTGTTATGTTCTGAAATATGCCCGTGATTATTTTTTGTGGGTTATTTAAATGCGCTGTCAGTATCTTGACCGACTCTCTGGTCTTGTGGTCAGAGTTCCTGGCTACAGATCCAGAGGTCCCGGGTTCGATTCACGGCGCTACCAGATTTTCTGAAAAGTAGTGGGTTTGGAACGGAGTCCACTCTATCCCGTGAGGATAATTGAAATAGAGGCTCAGGTCTAGAAAACCGAAATTAATGGCCGTGGGGATTTGTTGCGCTGACCACGCAACACCCTCTATCCTCTAAAGTTGGCTCTAACTTCGCCGACAAACGGCGGTCGCTCGGTCGGTATAGTTCGCTTGAGGACTAAAACCACGGAGTTTATTTCGTCACTATCTTAGGCTGTGTTGAGGCGAATGGTAGGATGATCGAAGAATGGGAAAAGATTTGGAAGAAGCTGTAGTTGAATAATCCTGATATTATTCCTGAGGTACTGAGGGAAAGCAGGAAACACTTCAGTCAGGATAGATGACGTCATGGTCAAAATTCAAACCGAATATCTTCCGAAACCCAACCGCTACCTCAGCCCGTTTGGTGCCTACGAGTTGGAATAATGTAAAAATAAATATTTCACACAATATTTACACACAGTATTCAATTCGTCCAGAAACAGATATGTGTATGCTGTATACAAACAAACTTACCCCTTCGTGTTGCAGATGAGATATATATATTTTTTTCGAAAGCTTCAAAGCAAAATCCAGTCTCTCTGATGATGCCATTGCTCTTTTACACTGACAGTTCACAATTCTTCTCGAGCTTTAATCTGCTTTTCCTAATTCACATTCGCAAAACACACAACCGTCACAATCATTAAAATGCATATCCCATTATGTGAAACACAATCTTACACGCGTATCCATTTTACCATCGTTTAATGGGGTTGAATATGAGGTTCTCACCGCACACACATTACGAACTGCACTGTCTCACAGAATTACACTCGTTCACAATTTAGAATACCGTACTCATCCTATAACGTGTTATTAGCTCCCCGCGTTCTCAACATGGAGAGCAGTTACTGCCACTACTGAAAGCAAAATATCCCGAAACTATTGAAACCATCGATGGTGAAGCATACAAATTTGTCTCTATTACAGCCACACTCAAAGTAGCAGTGAATTCAGAAATACCTATATCAAGACCTGCCCTTCCATCTAGCGTTGGTAACAAGAAACTTCATACAAGGTCACTTTCGTTTATGTGTAAGAAGCAAATTGCGGACTTCGCTTATACATCTGATTGATTGGAGTCAAATTGGATTATATTGGTCTAAAAAGGTAGCTTAGTAGGTTGTGTCAGTGGATATTCGAGATAAACAGTTGAACTCCACTCAGAGCAGCAATGAGGCAAATTCTGACATCATCAATATATCACACTTCACGTCCTTTTAATCTACCAATTAATGCTTACGATTGGTCTGCTAATCGACAAATAATAATACTCCAGAATATCATCTGAAAGAGAAAAAGGCTAACACTGATTTAATATTGGCTTTTTTTAGAAGACCGTCATAAAACTGTAAGATAATTCCTTCAGGCCATAGTGTACGAGTTTTATTTTTCAGATTCCTTACACTACTTGAATTAATTGGCTGTCATCAACTGTGAATTCTTAAATGGTAAACTACTTGTATAGCGTCACTAAAAAATGGCCCGTTAAGTCAACTTCTTCTGCTGTTGCCATGACGCAACTTGGCCTCTTTTGTGATTGTTCTACATTGGTCCCGGTCCTGTGACTTTCGTCTCCAATTCCTATGGTCCAGTGTCTTCAAAGTTTCTTAAGTTGAATCCACCGGGTTCGATCCCGGATCTGGTCAAGTGGGATTTGTGTGGACAAAGTGGGGCTGGGGCAGGTTTTCTCCTAGTACTTCGGTTTCCCCTGCCAGTCTTCATTCCACCAATTGCTTCACAATCACCCGCACCTATCATCTGGGGCTGGTACAATAGGCCAGAAATGGCCGCAGTACAAGGGACTTAGTCCCACCCCACTAGCAATAAAAAAACCTTATAGCAGACCGTGCATTGCTCACCCGGGTTCGACCCCAGGCCAATATATGTGGGATTTATGGTGGACAAAGTGTCACTGGGGCAGGCTTTCTCCGAGTACCTCAGATTCTCCTTCCAATTCTCATTCCACTGACTACTCAACAATCATCATCATCTATCATCCGGGGCTGGTACAATAGGCCAAATAATGAGCGCAGTACCAAATGGACTCGGTCTCACCCAACCCCCAAGATTATTATAGCAGGTCTGCGTACACGCCAAGTGCCCTCTGGTTTATGCAGATTTGAGTCCTAGAAAGGTCTTCCAGTCATCTGAACCGCCCTACTTTGATCACTTTCACTGAACCTGGTTCATTACATAATTTATAAACTTCATATAAAAAAATACAAATTCCGTGGTTTTAGTCCGCAAGCGAACTATACCGACCGTGTGATTGCCGGTTGTAGACGAAGTTGCCAACTTTAGTGGATAGAGGGTGTCACGTGTTTAGCGCAATGAATCACCACTGTCGTTAATTCCGGTTTTCTAGACCGGAGCCGCTATTTCCTTGAAATAGCTCCTCAATTTTCCTCACGAGGCTGAGTGGAACCCGTTCCAGACACATTACTTCTCAGAAAATCTGGTAGCGCCCGGAATCGAACCCGGACCTCTGGATCTATAGCCAGGAACTCTGACCACTAGACCACAGAGGCGGTCACAAACTTCATAGTTATACCTTAATCTGCATACACCATATTCCTTAATTGGACCATAAATTCTTCTTTACATCCTTCTTTCTTAGCTTCAGAGTATACTTAAGTCAACGGTACACTTAAATACGAGTATTAGTACAGGATTCATATTTACTGTAGGCTACTTCCAGACAAAGGCATCCTCTACTTGCATAAATGTGAGTAGAATTTACTATGAATTCAGAAGAAACAGAGCAGTTCAGAGGTTTATTATAATAAGGGATGATATAATTTCTACATACTTCGGCTATAACATTTTTTTATACTAAAATAATTTATGGTAATTTCATCACTAATTAAGGAAATGTCAGAAGAAATACACCTGTAGTTCATTCATATATTGCATTAATAAAGCAATTCTTTGTTCAGAAAATAATTATTTCTATAGTTGATATTTTTCAGGAAGATTACCGAAGTCTTGACAGACAAATTAAAATAAGTGTAGACCATATGTTATATTGGTCTTCTGTGTAGGTACACTCCCAACTGGAGTTTTAAGTCATATCAATATACTCTTATTTCTTTCCCACCCGGGTCTAATATTTTGGCAATTAACAACATCAGGCATGCGTATACACCACAAATAATCGTGTGGGGTACACGTATGTGATAGGTTTGTGGTCTGTGAAGATGAAGTGATGCGCTTCCAGCATGTGGCGGAAATGTTTTACGGCCTCGTAGATGACCAGCAGCTCGCAGTCACAGGCGCTGTACTTCTCTTCGGCCGGTTTGAGTTTCTTGGATGAGGCGAGGGGCTGCCAGGCGTTAATGACGCGTTGCTGTAGCACGACACCCATGGCCGACGTGGAGGCATCTGTGACGAGTGCAAGTGGTGCGGATTGATCGGGGTGCTCCAGCAGAGTGGCGAATGCAAACTCGCCTTGCAGTCTTCGAAGACCTTGTGGAGTTCCGGCGTCCAGGTGATGGGGTGAGAGCCCTTGACTCTTGGATCAGAAGGAACATCGTGAAGCGGTGCCTGGTGTCCCGCCGAGTGGGACAGAAATGGCCAGTTGAAGTTCAATGTGTCCAGGAAACGACAGAGCTGACTGGCGATTTTGGGCGGTTGGCAGTCCTGAAGATGGGTTACTCATTCTTCCAGAGTTTTGGAACCCTCGGCGGACATCTTGTAACCAAGGAAGAGGATCTCGGGTGTTCGGAAGGGGCACTTCGATAAGTTGATGACTGTTCCGTACCTCTGAAGTCGGTCGAAGAGAACTCGTAAGTATTTCTCGTGCTCCTCGAGAGACCGGGCGAAGATGAGGATGTCGTACAAAGAGGCGGTTGTGTTTGCAGTCCACCCGAAGGCCGAAATGTGACAGGAAATCGATACCGATAAGAGGATGTGTGACGTCTGCGAAATCCTTCCAGCCACATTATGGCCCAGGAGTCAACTCAGATTCAAACAGAAATGAGTACCAGGAATCTTCCTAGGGAGGTAAAGGGCGCCAGGCGCGAGGCTGACAACTCACCGCCATCTGTGAACCGATTGTCTAGAAAATGTGGGAGCCTCGACGTCTCACAAACCTGTGGCCTCAACGGCCTGTTACAGGGACAGCTTTACCTTTTTTTTACCTATCTGAATGTCAGAATACAAAAACTGAGAACCACTTGATGGGGTTTTATTAAATTTAAGCTGGAAATTCTTATTAAATTTGTCTATGGGTTGCAATTTTCGCTAAATCGTAGATAAGAAATTTAGCAAATAAATAAATAAGACATTTCAGATGAAGAATAATTCACATACATTTTATAAATGATATGCGTTAAGATTCATCACGTTTCCATGTTTGTCAAAGCACATGGACTTATAATATGCAGTCCAAAATAAATGGTTAGGAATAGTTCAGTCAGTAATATGGCTAAATGTGAGGTAGACAACCGGAGCTCCGTTCTTAAGAGGATTAGGAATTTCCCTCTTCTTCACCGCGACCAGATTGGCTCTGGAACTCGATCAGACTTCTATTTCATATATACCAGAGGCACTTTCTCTATTGACAAAGCAGCTAAAGAGCGAGTCTGGCTATTTACCTCCACCTAGTGTCGAGGTTGAGGAGTTTCACCTCACTCTCCCAAATGTCTTCCTGGCATTGCACTCAGACACAAAGATAAATTTAATCAAAGTAAAGTCTGGAGTAAAGTTAATATTTCAAAAGAGTAAGATCTGTTAGGCTGGATGTTGTCCAGTATTCCCTCATAAGCATTGAAGGAATTAAAAAATTTGGATGTAATTGGATGTAATGGGACTTATAGATTTTTGCTGCCTTGCTAGGAGAGCATGCAAATCAAACTGGTGTGCATCACAACTGTAAACTGTCACTTAGAAAGAGATCTAATGGAATTAAAGGCAGGATGTAGCATGTTTCCACTCTGTGACACCGTCAATTAAAATATGAGCACCTTATTAAAAACAGCAGGCCCATGCTTTCCTTCGTAGACGCAGTAACTTCTTTAACAGTGGAAACTGCAAGAGGCACAAATCTGATCAAAACGTTTTACTGCATAAAATAATTCTTCCGTTCATTTTTGCCAACCCACAATCACTTTCAGGGTGACAGATTCATTGCACAAGCACTGAATAGGGTGGGGTTTGTTTCAGAGACAAAAAACAAAATGAGTCTTGCAAACATCCAAACACACAGAGAGGAAATCCTATTCCATACCTCTACTCCTGCAAAGTGCTTGATTAAATCGTCGGGCGTTCTGAAAGCACAAGCAATTAACGCAAGAATAAACCATAGTAACGAATAGCAACCATGTTTTACATTCTGAAAATCCCGTGTGTGATTAATTATCCATAGATTGACTATGTTTCTTACATTTTGGGTTTTCCTCAGTCCCTCCATGCGAATACTGCCCACAACAGTTTAGCACATCCTTCTGTGACTCTTGTCCACATTCATCCTCCCATTAGAGCTTTGTAAAAGTTGCCTCTAAGAAAATGTCATCAAATGGGGTAATAGACTTCACAAATATTGTCTCACAGCCATGAAAATGAGCTCACTAAACGATAAATAATCACCAAGGGAAGTACAGCGGCATTAATCAAAGACCCTAGTAACATTTTTAACGTTGGTCCCAACAAGATTATATAAGAATTTTTAAATAAATAAATTTCTTGTGTGTTGATATCAAATGAACTGTTCACTTTATCGGCTACTTTTCAACAGAAGAAACGTAAAAAAGAATTACAGGGTATCAGGAATGTAATGGAACACTTCCTTTGCTCAGTGGTCTTAAATCAGCCTACTGTATCAACTCTGATGATAAC